GGGAGGGAGGGAGAGAGAGGGAGCGGGAGGCCGCGTCTTGTGGGGCGGCATGGCCGCCGGGCGGGGCGTGGGTGGGAGGTGGTACACATCCCTTTCCATCCCCGTCCAAATCGCGCAGCCTATGGGATCAACAGCATCCTGTACCAGCGGGGCATCTACCCCCCCGAGACCTTCACCCGCGTGCAGAAGTACGGGCTCACCCTGCTGGTCACCACGGACCCCGAGCTGGCCAACTACCTCAACAACGTGACGGAGCAGATGAAAGGTGCGCGCCGGCGGCGGGGCCCTCCCTGTCCCCGGTGTCCCTGCCGCTGCTTGTCGCGCTCCAAGTGACCGCCGTGGCTTCTTGCAGAGTGGCTGTACAAGTGCATCGTGCAGCGCCTGGTGGTGGTCATCTCCAGCATCGAGAGCAGCGAGGTCCTGGAGCGCTGGCAGTTCGACATCGAGTGTGACAAAACTGCGAAGGACGACAAGTGAGTACCGCGGCCCCTGCACTCACCCTCTTCCCTATCCGGAGTACCGCTGCAGGAACAGAACCAATGGCCTTGTTCCTTCAGACCTTTCTCAGTGCCCTGCCCTCTGTTTTTCTGCAAACCAGTCATTATACGATTGAACACACAAACAAAAACATCAATAAAGGGAGACCAGCTATCACTTAACTTTTCTAAGGACTTAGAAAGTGTCCCTTTCTACTCTAAAAATACTGTAGCAAACAGTCTACCAGAGCTTAACAAAGACAACTGTGTTTAGAGGGAACTCAGTACAGTAGCAGTTTTTTCTCTTACCAGAGTTCTCTTACTTTTCCAGTGGACCACGAGAGAAATCTCAGAAGGCAATTCAGGATGAAATTCGCTCTGTCATCAGACAAATAACTGCCACAGTAACCTTCCTGCCACTCTTGGAATCTGCCTGTGAGTATTCCAGACTGATCTAAAGAAATGAAACACTTTTGAAAAACCTCAGTAACTTTCCAACTTTGGAAAATATTTTCTGTTTTTCTGAGGCTTTTTTAATTATTACACCTTGTGCACCATAATGTTTGTGAGGCAGCACTTTGTTAGACTGAAATCAGGACAGAACTTGAGATGGCTTAAACTTGGGAAGTTTGTATGTATGCCCTAAGGAATGCAAGTTTTTGTGAATAATTTGTTCATATGAAGTGTTACACAGAGCTCAGCTCCACAGCATTGTAACATGTTTGAAAAAAATATTTTTTTCAAACCCGAGAAAACAAAAATGACTTCACATAAATATAACTTGTTTTAACTATTTTTTTCACATAACTTCTGAAAACCTTGGTCCTTGGCTCAAGTTCTAGAAGATGTACTTCAAACCTGCCATCTCCTTATGGTGAATTTGTTTTCCCTTGCTCCCAGGTGCCTTTGACTTGCTGATATACACGGATAAAGATTTGGCAGTGCCAGAAAAGTGGGAAGAGTCAGGACCACAGTTCATAGCCAATTCAGAAGAGGTTCGGCTGCGTTCCTTCACCACCACAATCCACAAAGTCAACACCTCAGTGGCTTACAAGAAGGATTCTGTTCCCTAAGATGCAGGGGCAAGTTCTATGTGTGTAAATATCCTGTCACCTTGTATAGTTTCTGTTCATGCAGCTAAGCCATGAACACATCATTACTGTCCTCTTGATGAAGTATGACACAGTGACAAAATGACAGAGAAAAAGTGTCTGTGATAATGTGACCCTAGACTAAGCTGGCATCATTTTTAAAGAGATTTTAAAAAAGGTATTCATGGTCATAGCTCAATTCTTACTGTATGAGCTAAACTAATGGTGTGTTAAACCACTGCCTCTGCTAGAAAAACTGCCTAAATCTAGGATTAGCTGCTAGAATTGTGTTCAGATCCTGTAATTTTATATTTTGAAATTATTTTAAAACTGCATTCTGTTAGCAGTCTTAAGTTCTCTGTAGCAACAAAAAAAAAAATCTCATTCCTGGGGTGCCAATTCTCATGTTAAAAGCCTGGGCTGTTTTATTACCAGAAATAACCCTAACACAAATCAACCAAGCAATTTTACCTCTCTACACTGGCAGCAGCTGTTTATCAGGAAAACTTTAAATAAACAAAGCCATGTATTTTAACGACCACTGGGCTCTAGTTCTGGGGATGGAGTTGTTCCGTCTGTGTCTGTAGTGTCTGTCCAGCATTTTCTATGTTTTTATTATTGTTTTACAGAATAAAGCTTTGAGTTTTATAGTGTTCTCTAATTCAGAGTCTGCAGTCCTTCGTGTTTCAGATGGGTTTATGAATGCTACATCCTAGTTTAGAACTGCCACACAAGTTTAACACCCAAAAGGCATCCTCCTTGTGTTGTTAGTTAACTGTTTCCTTCCTGAGTCCAAGTGTTGTGGAGTCCAGTGGAATGTTAATCCATTCGTGGATTAACAGCTTGGCCCCAGGTAAGTCTTCAAATAACAATTTAAAGTCACAGTGAACTAATGACTAAGCACATTGCCTTCTTGTTAAACAGCATTCAACTCTTCATGTGCTCTTACCCATTTTTGTATAACAAGAAATTAGGGATTTAAAACACTAGAACTTTCACTCTGCCACGTTGTTTTTATTACTTCCTTCATTAAATTCATTCCAGACAGAGTGTTTAACTCTGTTTTTTCCACTCTTCTTCAGTGATGTCGGACTTTCTGTTATAATAATATAATTTCAAAAGTTTATTTAAAAAACATCAAGCACATATACCCCAAACCATGCCTGTATTACAACCTTTTTGAGCTTTCCTATTTCCAGGAAAAAATTTTCTCCAGCGGTCCCAATCCAGCAGAAGTAAAAAAAAAAAGGCAGTCCTCTAAATCAGGAGCACGAAACCCATAACTTTTTAAAATAAATACAATCTAGGTACTTAAAAAGTTATGGGCTTGTGCTGCAGTAACAGAAGAATACCTTGGTGTTTTCTTTTGCCTGTCAGCAAAACTGTGACTGCACTACCCCTCACCCCTGGAAGCAGATGCACTTCAAAGAGTGAAGTCTGCAGTAGTGAGCAGAAAAAACACTTCTTTTACAGAGATGCAAGTCAAATTGTTCCAAGAAGCTCGTTCTTGTAGCAAAGAGAATTTATCTTCTTTAAGAAGAGCCAGCCCGAAGTCCATCTCCACTATCATCTCTGTATTTCTTCCTTTATAGAGGCACCAGCAGTCAAGGGAAGTTGCAAATAGATCATTGCATGTAGATTATGTCCATGGAAAGGTACATGTGAAAAGGAACAGGTGAAGTCTTGATCCTGAAGTTTTCACAAAAACCTGCAGAATAGGGAAGAAAATAAACAAGAAAGTTGTATCGTTTCCCAGGAACCAAGCTTTCATGGAGGTGTCCAACAGCATGGGCTGATTCCTAACAGGACCCATGATCTTGGTTAGTTTCCCCTACTCTGAGGTCACTTTTGTAGAGTGACAATCAAAACCAAGGGAGCCCCCCCATCATCTTCAGTGGCAGTCTGGCTGTCCTTAGGAAAGGGAATGAAGGGTAAGCCTCAGAATCAACCCAGCAGGCGCTGCTCACCTGACTAGTTGAGCTGACGGATGAGTCGGTTGATTTCATCACCTCTGTAGCCAGGCTTGCCCATCTCCGTGAGGAAACCCACTCTGTTCCGCGATGCGTGGCGAGCCACCGACAGATGGAATGGCCACAAAAAGCTGGTTACTCTTTTGAAATACTTCCCAGTTGAGTAGATTTCATGAATAAGGTCTTCCAGGCAAATGATACCACAGCCACCTGCACAAGAAAAAATAATAAATAAAGAGATGTCTGACCGTATCATTTTCCCTCACACTGCTCCAGAATTGCTGGTCTCAAGATTTTGTGTCTCCCCACCCTTTTGGATCAGACTGTAAACTCTCAACACCTAACTCTTTCCTCAATTTTCTCACCCTCTTCCTCACCTAAATGTTCCTCTATCAGCATGTTGTCTGTCAGAGGCACCCTCTTTTTCTTGATCTTGGCCTGGCCCCGTTTCAGGATGAGCTCTCGTACAGATTTCAGGTTAGGCTGCCTGTGCAGAAACAAAAATCAGATTCTTAAACAGAAAGACATAATGCAGAGGGAAGCCCCATCCCACCTCCTTGTGCAGAGGTGGGAAAGTAACCAAGTTATATCAACAACAATGAGAAAAGGGACAATAACAAGTTTTAGATATAAAGCTGACTAAGTTTTGACCGTTACTGGACAAGTAATGGATCTGTGATAGCAGCTGGAAAATCCAGTGACCCCCAAGTCACAGGAGGGGTACGTACCCCCACGCCACGTAAGGCTCCACGGTCCGCAGCATCTTCAGCGTCAGTGGGCTCAGCTTCACGAACATCCCAGTGTAATTCTTCTTCAGCCGCAGCAACTCCATCACTTTTTTCACCCTCTTAGTCACTCCCTTAATACTGAGGAAAAAAATACTTCTTAGTAACCACATTTCTGTCATAGACCAACAAAAGGCCTCAGATCACCAGCAAGGAGACATGTCTGGGTTGATCCCACTGCCTTGGTGTAGAAATGACACAACAAAGGGTAGCAACAATAAGGGAAGGAGTAGGGGAAGGTTCTTACTCCACAATCCTCACGACGAAGGCCAGTTTGCTCTCCTGAGGTGCCACTGCCTGCCCAGGCCTCTGCTCCATGCGCCTCAGCCGGGCGTCATCGCGGCGTTTGCGCCATGAGTCACGAACAAAGGTCTCCAGGCGCCTGAACTGGATCTGTTTCCCCTTCTGCTGCTACAGACAAAAGGAAAACAAAGTGTCACCCAGCCCAATAGTCTCAGAAGCTTACATCTCAAAGGCCAAATGAAATGCAGAAGTAGTGAACAATGTTCTTTTAGCTTTCAAAACAGTAAGAAAATAAATTTGATTATCTAAGCCCAAGTGAGACAGAACTGGGGGACAACATACAAATTTACACAAAACTACTATTTATGAACAGCAAACAAAGAGTTCTTCCCCAGGAAAAATATAAATTAGGGAAAACAGAGCAAGACCCAGGATACTTCTAGGCACAGCTACACACACAGCTCAGCAATGGCTGGGAAAGCCAGAAACAACATGTGGGCAAAACAGATGCTGTAATGTAACTCAAAATTACCCTCCAACAGAAAATAACTGCATTTAAAGTCCTTTTCTATACAGGCACACACGTAAAAAAAAATAATTAAAACATTCAAGTAACTATTAAGTATTGCTCATTTAAACAGCCAACACCTGTCTCATCTGATAAAAAGTCTTTTCATTACTAGAAAAGCCCCTTTTTCAAATTAAACAGATGTTTAAATGACTCTCCTTAGCTTAGGAATAAGTACATCCACCAAGTCATAGTGTTTTCATATACAAACAGGACTTGAAAATGCACAGCATTACACACATATATTTAAGACACTCTACTGGTTAAATTAGCAGGCCATTTTAAATTAAAGAATCTGTAGCTGTGTGTCTTCTGTTCTATTTCACCTTGTAAATCACCAGTGAAATTGGTTTGAATTTTCAAAGCAGGCAGACCTAATCAAATTCTCATCAGTACGGTCCTTTTTAGAACGAGAATCTTAAGGAGTGGTTATTTAACATTATTGCTTACGCTTTCACCTTGGAAACACAGCAAGCCACTGATGCTTTTAAAAAAGTAAACACAGGATCAAAAATGGCAGGAGTTTTGCACATAATCCCACAAAATTCACTGGGAAAGCTTTAAGACAGATACCTACTGTATCAGCTGGGGTACAGCAGAACAGGTGTCAGACTGGGAATTAGAAAGGTTTGCTGTGCTCTGCCAGTCTGGAACTGCACAGTGCACACAGCATGTGCCTGCACTAGGACATGTGCCACCCCCACAGGCAGAAAAAGGCTTTAGCATGACCTGTGCTGCTCCAACAGAAAAATAACTCTAAATGCACCCTCCGAAAAGCACTGTTTCCATTCAGGGTTACAACACAAAGGTGGTTTCAGACAGGGAAATCCAGGGCAGCAAAGACAACTCAGCAGTGCTGCAGTTTCCCACATGTGGCCGCAAACACCTGACTATCACTGATCCAACACAAACAACTCACAGTCTTCCATATATATTCCGTTTCGGTGTAATAACCCGTAAAACTCTGTCCTCTTTACAAGGCTCAGAGACACACAGAGAAGATGTTGAGGCACTCAAGCTCCCCTCGGAACCCGAAGACGATCCCTGCCCACGCGGGGTGCTCACGGAGGGCCCCGACCACCCGGATTATTTCCTAGGAACTCCAAGCACTCGCGATTTCCTCCTCCGGAGGACGAGCTGGGGCTGCAGGACCCGACTCTGTCGGGAGCCGCCGTACCTTGCGCTTGTTGAGCAGCGCCTGCTTGGCCTGGGTGGCCTTGATGGCCAGGTACGCCTTCCTCTTCTTCAGCAAGTTCTCTGGTACCAGCGGGATCCGCCGCCTCGGCCTGTGGGCGGGACAACCCGGTCACAACCCGGTCACAACCCGGCCGCATCCCGCATCCCGCCGCCCCCGTGGCCGCCCTCAGCCCGCGGATGGCAACGGATGCCGCATCCCCTCCCCTCCTCCCTCCCCGCCACACTCACTCCTCCAGCTCCGCCATCTTGCCGGGCCGCTACCGCGCATGCGCGGGGATGAGGCGAGGTCGTGGCCGCTCCCCCTCAGGCGCTGCTCACCTTCCCGGGAATCGCCGAGTGCCGGGAAGCGCCGGCTGCGCTCTCCCGGGCGAGGCTCTGCGACCTCCCGGGGGTACCCACACGCGGCGAGCCGGGGAGAGGGGCGGACAGGGGGACACGGCGGTGTGAGAGCCGCGCCACCCGCAGGTGGTGCCAGAGGCTCAGGCTGAGCTGGACGGTGCCGGCGTTCCTGGTGCGCTCCCTGCAGCGGGGAGGCCGCAGTGGCACTGCAGCGGTAACGGGGTTTCGCTGCTCGCCTCGCTGGTGCTGCAAACCTTTACAACACTCTAAATGAGCCCGCTAAGGTTTTGACACCTAAAATATGAAAATACGTATTTAGGAACTCGATCCAAAAATGCCAGGAAGAATACGGCCCCCGGTGAGCAAACCCCCGACTGGCCATTTTTTTTTTTTTTTTTTTTTTTTGAATAGGAGACACAAAGCAACAAGGTTATGAAATAAATAATCTGAAACTTTTTCCGTAATTACGCAAATTTCACCCCGACTTATAAAACCGGCTGGAATCCCTTGTAGCTCAGAACAGAGCAAGTGACCCATTTAAATCTACGAATGAACTCGCTTTGTTTAACAGGAGGGAAATGCAAACAGGCTCTCGGGTGTTCCATTATTAACAGCAAGGAAACAATAAGTAAATAAATATTTGAAGCGCTGTTGCCATGAAAAATGTCTCCCAGCACAGCAACATTCCTAGGCTGACTCGTTAAACTGGAACCAGTGGTTATATTGTTTTAATGAACAATATTATATATATATATGTATATATAAATTATACTATATGTAACAATATGAATTTGAATTCAAAATATTCCTGTTTGCAGGGATACCCAAGAAAAATGTTCCCACTTTCCTAGACAGCCTGCTGTACACTGGCCTTCAGCGCTCCGAATTCCTGCATGCAAAATTTTAAGGCTCAAATTCCAAATGCCAGGTCAGGAGATGAGGTGGGATGCCAGAAGTCCGTGAAACTTCTTGCCTCATTTTCTCATTCCATGGGTATAAAACCCCATTAAATTAATTTCAAATCCCACAAAATCTTGATTCATGCTGTGTGCAGTCTCAAAACAGCAAAAGGGTTTGAAGTCCATCACTCTCATCATCGAACTATGCCCCAGTCTGAAATGTCTATAAGAAATTCCTAATAATGAGAGCCAAAGAAAATCTTGGGAATATATTAATAAGGAAATATTATAAATTATAATTATAATATTATAATTAATAAATACAATTAAATAAATTTATAATCGGTGATCTTAAATTATGCCTATTTTCAGATCTTTTAAGGAAGAAGTTTTTATGATTTGGAAAGATGCCCAGGAACTACTCCATACACACACTCAAACCAATAATTAATAGAGAGAAAAGCTGGGTGATTCAAGACTCTCTTTCATGAAAAGAGAAGTCGTATGGAGATAGACTAATATTTCATAAAAATATTTCTGAAAAACACTGTGGATAGATGCTTGGGTTTATTCTTTTCAAAATAAGCTCCCTTAAGATGGGCATTTTTGTCAGAAATCCTGCACATTCCCTACAGAAGGAGCAACCTGGGTATAATGAAGACATATGGATGAGACTAATGCAGGTGTGTATCCTCAGTTAGTAGCACCTAATATTTCAAATTGAAAAGGTTAAAACAAAAAACTTGTCTTTGTGTCTCTCTGGAAAAAAAACTGAGCGGGGCAAACCCATTCATTCTTTAGTGCTACTCATTTACCAGCATCAATGGAAAATATTCCAGTTTCAAAAGCTCGATTTTACAGTCACTATTGTGAATAATTCCCTGGAAGAAAAGCAGACTACTAATAAAGCCTTGGCACTGTTCACAATTATTGTCCCTGGAAATTATATCTGGAGGTTTAAGTTATGAATATTAAATTACAAATTTATATCTGTCAGAATGTTCTCACATTTTCTAAAAGAGTGGTGGTACCTATTTACAAGTTTCCAAAATGAAACATTTGTAAGAATTAAAATGTAAATTGATTTTGTTTTACCTCTAATGTACTTGTAAAGGCCTGGCTAGTGAACCTGAAATTACAATAAACAGCAATGAAAATAATTTATTTTTCTGTCTTGTCTATAAGAGAGTGCACATAATAACTGCAATTTGAGTGTACAACAAACTTAAGTGTGTCTTTAAAGAAAAGTGGAGGTAAAAATAGGCATCCTTATACGTGGTCTCCACAGGTCTCCATGACCTTTCTTCTCCTTCCACAGGGATGAAAACTTGCATTTTATTTGGGAGAAAGACCCATTCAATTATGTCTGAGATGAAAGACAGTGAGAACAGAATAGGAGTCTTTCCCACACTCAGTAATTGGGAATCCTACCTCTTGCTAGATTACTTTTTAATTGAACATTCGAGATAATTATGCCATTTAGGTTGTGGAAGCATATCAATAAGTACACCACAGCATAAACTATTCATAAAAATACTACAGAATGGGGAGCCATAAAAAGAGATGGAATGGAATAACATAAATAGGAAGTTCATCACGGCAGTGTAGACAACTTAATAGGAGTTGCTTTGTTCTGACAGATCATGCTCTCTGTCCTAAACATCAGTGATTCTGATACAGTGGTGATGGGTGGTGGACAATAACTTTTATTCTTTTTTTAAAAAAAATAAAGCATTTAATTATTTTTATTTTGTGGCTCTGGTTTCTGACACAACTATGTAAAATGCTTTTGCAAGTTCAGTTTGGGAGACTAGGGAAACAACAGGCAGCAGTTGTTTCAGCAGAAACAGGAATCAGAAAAGGATTAAAACATCCTAAGTGAGAAGTGACCTGCAGTAAATACTATAAAATCACAGCAGAGTAGTTTCAATGGTTTGTAGGAGGGTTGAGCCCTGAAGGAAGCTGTGGCCCTGAGTGCTGTGACAATGCAATAGGGCTATAAAGGTCCTCTCACATTTTTTCCCTGTTCATTTATGCAGGGAAAGTTCTGATTGGAATATTTGATTCTGCTTGCAATTATTAGTAACAGCTGCCCAGTCAAGATAAAGCCACAGAGCATCGGTATTTGGCCAGGAAATACCAGAGCCCGAGGGATCTGCAGATACCTGTGGCTTTAACCCAGGAAAGGGGCTTTGTCCCTACACACAGCTGAAACAAAGGAAGGGAGTTACAGCATTCTCCTCATGGCACAGCAGAAGATGTTACAAGGCTGAGTGCAGAAACACAGCAGATAAAATCAGTAAATAAAAGTGCAGAAATGATTCACAAATTTTATATTAAATGATTGGCTCAAGGCGAAATAATAAGCATGGGAGTAGGATTTCATAATTATTAGAAATGGATAAAAACATCAGCTTAATGCTTAGAACAACAGAACAGTGATTGAAAATTATGAGAGAAGGGGTAAAGAACAAAGCAGAAACTGATTCCACAGTGTAGCCTCTCACACCCACATTTTGGATGCTCCAGCTTTGGTCAGTCATCTTTCTTCCATCTGTCCATCCAACACCTCCACCCATGTTCCCCCAAGACAGACTTGGAGAAGGTTTAGAGAAAGAAGATCAAACACAAGGAATAGTTTCCATCTGTGGAGCAGTTCCATAGACTGGACCTGCCAGCTGGGAGAAAGGTGTCTGAGGGAAGATAAAACAGTCGGTAGAATGATAAATGCTGGGATAATTGTTCCCTCTTTCTTTCAGCACATGAGGAAAGGAACCTCAGATAAAGGAGGCAGGTTCACAGCAAATAATGTGTTTTTTTCAGCAGATGTACTTGTATTGAAGACCCAGACCTCTTAGCCACCACAGGAGTTATACATTCCAGCCATGCATCCCCACCCATCTCCCTCCCTCCTCTGTGGGTCTGGCGTTTCTGCTAGCTCAGCTCTAATCTTTCCAATCAACTGAGATCTATCCCATTTTGTATTTGTCCTTGCTATTATAGCACAATATCAGAAAAGGCAGACAGAAATCAGTTTCTTTGCCTGCATACAAAAGGGTTCATTTAGTCTGAATGCATGCCCTTCTCCCCTGTTCAGCTGCACTGCATCCTGTTCTCCTGCCTTTGAAGTCCATCCTTTCCAGTCTTTAAAGAGCTTTGGATAAATGAATCCTGTTCCTGCAGTGATCTATTATCACTGTCTAAAAGCTAGAAGGATGAGGCAAATTTGCCAAAACACCTGAGGAGAGGTGGAATAAGTAAGAAGGGAATCAAGGAGCTGTGTAACTCTGGGTAGCACTGCCCAGACCACAGCTGTGGAGAGCACCTGCAGCAAGCCAAGCACAGTTGCTTGGTTCCAGCAGCTTGGAGCATCCCTGTCCAGAAATAACAGTGATCAATCAGCTGACAGACTGATACTGCAGGGGCACTCCCTCACCTGGAAAAATCGGGTATGAGATGAGGAGAATGCCTCAACAGGAATAAAACACAGAAATCCAAAGCAACTGTGCTGCTCCTCTTGCTGTGCTCAGCAAGACTTGATTCTTCCCTGAGAGTTTTCCATAACCCCTGGTGGGATCAAGGCCTTTCTAAATCAAATGCTGTGTTCTCACATCACCTGAGTTTCTGACTCAAGAGACTTCCTTAGGAAGAGCTCCTAAAGAAAAACCAGGTCCTGTTTCTAAAGGAGGATAACAAGCCTGTCTTGCTAGTTCCAGTTTTTTATACACATATTAATTATACTGTAATTTTTTTTTATATATTGTATAGAAAAATATTCATTATCTTTTTTTCCTGGTTTTTAATAGTAAGAATAAGCTCCTGTCAGTACACAAACCCAATAGTGAAAGAAATCAGTCATGTGCAGGTATGCTTCAAACAAATGTTAATTTTCAAAATTATCAAGTAATTGTCAAAATGTTAATTCTCAAAACAGTGTCTCCCACCTTGGCATCTGACACACTGCAGTTGTAGCCAAAAAATGCTGGCAAACACATGTTATTTTTTTCTTTAAGCCAATTTTGTCAAGGCACTGCCTAATGTAAGAGTTGGTGCTATGTG